TACTGCTGATGTCTGAGAAGGTGCTGGATGAGTTCAACCCAAAGAGGTTCACATCATCTTCAAACTACACAAGACTCATTCCAGCTGTGAGATGCTGCAGAAAAGCCCTGTGAGTAATTTCACTGACTGCTGTTTAATTAAAAGTTGCTGTTTTGTTCTACATCACTAAACAATTAAATGGTGAAATATTTTCCTGTCTGGATTATGAAGGCTACAATTAGTTATTGCAGAATCACTGAACATCAGAAAATAATCTGTCTAAACGTTGTTTTGTCAGATTTGACAGCTGTGGTCTTGATGAAGCATGCTGTGAAACTCTGTCTTCTGCTCTACAATCATCAAACTCTCATCTGACAGAGCTGGACCTGAGTAACAATCACCTGCAGGATTCAGGAGTGAAGCTGCTCTCTGATGGACTGAAGAGTTCACACTGTCGACTGAACATCCTGAGGTTTGAATTTCACTTTCGAGCTGGACCTGAGTAACAATGGCCTGCAGGATTCAGGAGTGAAGCTGCTCTCTGATGGACTGAAGAGTTCACACTGTCGACTGAACATCCTGAGGTTTGAATTTCACTTTCACTGAATCACTATGATTAAATATGTGGAAGAATAAGTGTTTCTTAACTATAGCTAGCAGATATTTCCAGTCTATATTGTAGTATGATTGTATCAGTGGCATTTTCTTCAAGAACACAAGACAGGCAACACCTACTCAAAAAACCTGATGAGAAAACAATCAGGCTTCCCAACCATCCCGGAAAACCTGGGATTTTGTAATGCTGTTTTCCAGTTATGAGAACGAAATAATACCTACATTTCTTAATGACTTCTTTGAACATTATGTTTCAGTGAACTGTTTTAAAACTGTTCCCTTTCCTTACAATCAATTTATTTTCACTTCATCAGTGAAATCCTCAGCTCTGAGGATCATATATTACTCTTGGTTTCTGCCTAATTTCAGTAGAACAGATTCAGTGTGTTGATAACTTGACAAACGCTGTGACCGGATCATTGAGTCAGTGAGTTGAACTGGATCAGTTTGATTCATGAACGATTTGCTGCAGTGTTGAGCATAAATGCACAGATGAGTTATGAACAGGAGTTGACCCTGAGGCATTTTTTGGGCCTTGGATATGCTGCCCTGACATTTGTGCTTATTTAAGTTACTTAAAAGTTTTTAATGGATACATCGGTAACACTTTATAATAAGTATACTGTAATAACAAATGTACAAATTATTCGCAAACTATTAGTTTTGTTTTATTGTTGTGGCTCTTGCAAAGAAAAGGTGCTGCTGCTGCAAAAAAAAGCGGTAACACTTTCTATGAAGCCCATATTTATAATACATTATAAGGGTATTCGTATATATTGAATGAAAAATGCATTATAAAAAAACGTATAATATGTTGTATCATCTCATAAATAATCATAAGAACAGTTTTAATGTATTATAATACTTATTTGTGGTTATAGCTTTTAAGAGTATGATGATTTATAACACAGTGAACATGTTGCATTCACTTCAGTTACAATGAATTATATTTCTCATAGTTATAATGTATTATAATTCTCATATCTTGCCAAATCTTCATGAATCTTCAAAGTCTTCATGAATACATCCAAAAGGCTTTATAATGTGGTCTTATTATTTATAAGTGTTCTATGTCTGCTTTAAGTAAAGGGTAACACTTATACACTTATAAATAATAATAATAATATTTTTTTTTCTCAAACAGCCATAAAATCAGATATTAGATCAGATGAATGTGTACACATTGTTACAATTATAACCAAACCGCAACAAAATAAGGTAGACACCACACACAGCTGCAGCTTGACAATATTTATTTAACTAAAGAAATAAGCGTGAAATGCGTTATCAGTGTAAATGTACGTCAGTATGTCAGCAAATGAATGTAAGTACAAACAGTGACAATCCAAACAACGTAAAATACAGAGGGTAGACAGTCAAGACATGAAACCCGTGGCCACTTTGATCCTCCGTCACCCTCGCATCCCGGCAGCTCATCAGAAGTCTCAAGAGGAACCAACAAACAATAACGCGGGCATGTCTGTTTGGCTGAGTCCCTTATAAAGTGCCATAATCCAGTTCAGGTGCAAACCACGCACATCAGCAAATCACCTGCAACTCTGAAACAAACACACACAACTAGTCACAGAAATGTGACAACATTTGCTTTGAACTATTTTTATTGTAATATCAATATGGTTATTTTTATGCTATCCTTTAGACCAGTGGTTCTCAACGGGGGGTGCGCCCGAGAGATCGGAAGGGGGGTGCAAAATGGTTTTCAAGAAAAAACAGAGACAAGGCATTATTTGGATAATTGTATTTTTTGCATTTTATTGCGTTTCAAGTAGAATATACACAAATGGAAAAACCCCGCTGGGCTTGGAAAAAAAACCTCTTCCTCTGCTTTTTTTTTTTTTTTTGGGGGTGGGGGGGGGGGGGGCTTAGCCTGCCTTTT